TGGATAGATGAGACAATGCATGCATGCATGCATGAATGAATGATGACAAGGCCCTGAAGGAACTTATTAGGATAATACAGACCTAAATATCCCTTAATTCCAGGATGAAACTGAAGCAGCAACAAAGTAAAATTTCTATTCCAGGTGGGAACACCAAACCATTGTCATCCAGTCAATTCTGATTCATAGTAGGATTGGGAAATGTAAGGGGATAAAACATATCTAACACTGTTTGACACATTAAGAAAAAGTGGAATAGTATTGTTAAAAGTACTGTTAGGCCTTTCTTGACTAAGAGCCAGGAAAAAACTAACCATAAACCATCATCTGAATTCTCTGAGGAACCAGTGGGAATTTCTCTCCTCTTGACACTCACCTGAAATACATATCTAAGAATTCCAAGGATTATTCTGAGGAAAATGCAGTGATAAAAGACTGGATCCGAATGAGGCAAACTAAAATGGCCTGATCGCTAAAGATCGTGATGAGCATAAACTGCCTGAAGAATGCCGGGTGGTGGTCAAAGTAATATTTACATATTCTGAGGCAAAGTCCCTGTTCCCTTTTTCTGTTCTGTTCAAGAGAAACTGACCATTATACCTGACAAAATAGGTCTCCGTCGTCCTATCCACCTGCTCTGTGTTTCTGTGTGTATGTGTTTCACCTCCAGGCAATTTTGTGCCAGAGAAGTTTCCTAGAGCTACTCAGAATCTTCTCACCAGGTACAAAAACTTGCAGGTCAGAAAGAGCTATAAGCAAATATGTATGAACTGGGTCCCACACACCCAATGATGACTGACCCAGATGTCAATCTAACCACGTGATCTCAAGAAGCTGGAGGTGCCAACCTCTAAAAAGGATAGCATTCTGCATAAAGAAGAATACAAATGCGGGAATACAGAGATGACCCTTTCCTCCTAAACTTCGAATGCCTACATATTGGAAAAGGGGGTAGGATTTTCCAGTGTTGTGTTAATATGCAGAATCTACCTTGGAGAGTCCTATGTACAGGCTTAGCTTTTCTATGCAGTTTCAGTTTAGCGCAGGAGAGCTCATCACCGTTCTGTGCTTCCAGCACATTCCACAGACACTACCATCTATACTTCCATTACAGCGCTCACAACTTCATGCCCTTGTGAGGGATGGAATGTATTCCTCTCTGATCATAACTTCAACAGTGAATTCCCAATGACTAAGCATCATTATTAAGGAGTTCTGGTGGTGTAGTGGTTAAGGCATTTGGGAGCTAACCTAAAGGTCAGTAGTTTGAACCCACCGGCTGCTCCACAGAAGAAAGATGAGGCAGTCTGCTTCTATAGATTTACAGGCTTGGAAACTCAACAGAGGTCACTATGAGTTGGAATCAACTTGGTGGCAGTGCATTTGGTTTTTTTTTTTTGTTTGTTTGTTTTTAAAGCATAATTCCTTAGTAGTCCCTGATTGTTGTAAATGGTTAAGTATACAGCTACTAACAGAATGGTTAGTGGTTCAAACCCACCCAGAGGGCCCTCAGTCCAGGCCTGGTGGTCTGCTTTGGAAAGACCATAGCCATGAAAATTCTACTGAATACAGTTCTAGGCTGAAACACACGGGATTGTCATGAGTTGGGATTGACTTGTTGGCCACTGGTTCGGTTTTTTGCTGTTGCTGTTTTTCAAAAAAGCACAATTCCTACATGTCATAAGCACTAAACAAATTTGTTGAGTGAGTGAATGAATAAGTGAAGAAATACCAAACAAACAAACAAACAAACAAACAAACTCACTGTCATTGAGTCAATTCTGACTCATAGCCACCCTCGCTGGGTTTCTGAGGTGATAAATCTTTATGAAAGTAGATTGCCTGGTCTTCCTTCCACTTAGTGGCTGGTGGGTTTGAACCACCAGCCTTCTGATTAGCAGTCCAGTGCCTTAGGCACTATGCCTCCCAAAGAGGGATTGCTATGAGTCGGATCCGACTTGATGGCAGTGTGTTGGGTTTTTGTTGCATTGTATCCCTGAAAACTTAATATATAACAAAAGACTACAATGGTACTCCCTAAAAAAGTATACTCATTTGCCAAGAACAAGCTTTGACATATCAGTAGAGAAGAAAATATTTAAGTTTTTCGGCTCATTAGCTGTAAAACATAGCCATTGATCTTTGACCTACTGCTGAATCTTTGGTTCACATTTCAAAGACCAAAAGTCTCCTTTGTGACCAACTAGAGAAAAGGATCTCCGCTCTCCATGAAGATCCTTGCTGCCCTTTCCAGATGGAAATTTGGCAACTGGGTTGAAACACAGTTATCTTTCACTTCTAGTGGAGTGCTCCTTGGTTGTTGTTGTTGTTGTTATGTGCTCTCGAGTAGCCCCTACTCATAGCGACCTCCTCCTTGGGTTT